AAAACCAGACTCTGTATCAACTGTGTAATTTTCCATGGGAGTTTTGCCATGGATCCCCCTCCGGCATGCCACAGTCCAGGTGTTAGTCCCCTGAAACAACTTTTCCATCCCTATTGTGGCCAGAAAGAGTCCCTGTGTGTTTTAAAATTCGCCTCCCCATTGAAGTCAATGGCGTTTCGGGCGGTTCGCCGGTTCGCGAACATTTGCGGAAGTTCGCGTTCGCCGTTCGCGAACTGAAAATTTCGGGTTCGCGACATCACTAGTCGATGCCAATAGTTTTATTGACAGAAGTAGCTTGCCCCTACACTCCATGGTTGGAGAATGCCCTGAAAGGGCAATTCTTAAGGATACGTAGGAATTGTACGGACCAACATATGTACGAAGAGCAATCTCTTAAAAATAAACAGGACTTCCTTAAGAAAGGTTATGAAGAAGAAAAACTGGAAAGGGCAAGGAAAGAAATTAAAGAGAGAAACAGGGGAGATTTACTGAAGTATAACACTAAGGGAAGAAAAGAGATGAAACAAACAGAAGTTATACCATTTATATGCAACTATAGCAATAATATCAGAAAAGTAAGAAATATTATAAGTAAATATTGGCATATTTTGCTAAAGGATCCAGTTTTAAAAGAGGTCTTAATAGATAAACCTAGAATAATACATAGGGGAGTGAGAAATATGAAAAGCCAACTAGTAAAAAGCTTTTTAAAAGAAGCCAGTGAGGCTGGATAACAATGTTGGTTTTTATGGATGTGGAAAATGTGGCGCATGCAAAAAGACCGGGAATAGTAGACATATACTTAAGGATTTTAACTCGAATGGCAGAATCTATGAAATTAAGGATTTTATGACCTGTTACACAAAAAAATATCATTTATGTATTAGAATGTCCATGTGGACTGAGGTATGTGGGCAGAACCACAAGAGCGCTACATATACGCATAGAGGAGCATTCTCGAAACATTGCAAAAAGCTACGAAAATCATGGCGTTTCAGCCCACTTTAGCACCTATCATAACCACAACCCTACAGAACTGAAGTTTATAGGTATAAAAAAAATCCCCAAAAATTGGAGAGGGGGAAATTTCAACAATACTATTGGGAGGATAGAGATGGAATGGACTATTGGGAGGATAGAGATGGAATGGACCTACAGTTTAAACACAATGATCCCACAAACGGATTAAATGGCGACTTCGAAATCTGCCATTTCCTAAAATAACCCCCTCACCCCCTTTAAAACATATCCTGGATGTGAAGGATGAATATGTAGATAGCATTGACTATGTAGAGCACAAAATTAATAGATTATGCATAAAGCAATTATGGGAATTACACATTGTAACTACAGTGAGAATTTTTTTTTTTTTTTTCAAAACAAAGATTATTGAAAATAGGAGACTGCAAAATGAGGGTCTATCCTTTATTTATTTGATTATGTATATGAACAGTGAAAGGATGAAGTTTTAAAATAATATCCTATGCATGAATATTCTCCCCTATTTGAGGACCCTGGTGTAAATTTATATGGATAACAGAACCTTAATAACTGTAGTATTTACTCATTAAAGCAGACCTAGAGTATAATATGTTATGAAGGATAATAGTAATCTCTTATGTGTCCACACATACACTCCTCGTTTATCATATATTGCGAGGAAGATGTGATACAGGAAGTAAAAACTGACTTTTGTAACACATGCTGGAACGCAAGGATGTACTTGAAACCGGAAGTGATGTCATGCGAAAGTAAGAAACCGGATATATGTGTAATGCAGATTGAAACGATCAACAGCTGGAGAAGAGAGAAGGTATTTAAAACACAGGAATCAGAGGATGATATGATGCAAGACTGAGGAAGCCGGTGAACAGTGAAACGCGTTTTTTGTAAGCACAGACTTTTATATATTGGCATTTGCTACTATTTTTTATTGTTTTATATATTGTCTTTAATAAAGTAATTTTAAATTACTACTTTGGACTCCGGCTGATGAACAAAAGGGAGTGTAGTCCCTAACTACACCACGTTTGGGGTACTGAGCCAGACTACAGACTTTCTGCTTGTGAGTATATCGCAGTAGCACACATTACTCCTCATACCCACAGAATTATACTATTATTATCTTTTTTTTTTCCTATTTCTTTGAGTAAATACTCTACTATCTGGAAATCAACCACACAGAAGAGGGACAGGGTCGCTCAAATTGAACCCACAGGCGTTCCACACCAGAACTAGGTTATCATAGCTCTGGAATAAGTGAGTGTTCCATTATTGCACATACTGTGATTGTATCTAAGTGGTTTTACACTATATTTTGTTTGTATTTGTGTTAAAGGTATAAAGCAAGAAGGTCCCCAAAATTGGACTTTTAATAAGCTAAGTGTTTGATTTAGCCTTGCACAGGCTTTGCCTACTTTTAATATAAAAATAAGAATATCTGTGTCAGAATAAGCGCTCCACTACTTATCTTTTTACTGTATTTGATTTGTGTGTTTAAAGGAATTACACATTTAGTGTAGAAGCCACTTGTTTGTTATATTCAAAGTGCATACATATATATATATATATATATATATATATATATATATATATATATATATATATATATATATATATATATATATCCAAATCAAATGGCTAGGCACTCCTCCTTGAACTGGGCTTTCAAAAAGTATTATCCTGCCTAGGTGCATCCCGCGTTAAATATAAAGCAGATAGGTAAGGGGAGCACACTAGGACTTCACTAATAAAGTGGAAAAAAACTTTTTTATTAAATGCTTACAGAGTCATGGTCTGTGCAAGAAAATCGACGTTTCGACCCACCCGGGGTCTTTATCAAGATCACAGTGACATAATTATTTAATCCAAATATATACAAAATTATTAGTAAAAGCTTACCAATGAAGAGATCGAACAGCCGACCGGCAAGAGAACCCGGAAGTGAAAACACCACGTGAGCGTGAGACGTGAGTGACGTGGTTGCTAAGCAACCTAACAAATTACACAGTTAGCTCGATACAGTCTACCCAAATGTATCGAGCTGACTACCCGGAGATGGAGGAATAAATACAATAGCCAATGCTGTGGAGATACCTCTAACGTGACTAAGTGAGCATACAGATAATACAAAATCCCTGCATAGTGGCAAACAATAGTGAAAGTATACTCCACAGAAAAGGCTGAATAAAAAACTAAAAGTAAAAAATAAAAATAAATAAATAATAAATAATCAAAAATAAAATAAAAAAATTAAAAATTAAAAATTAAAAACACCAAGACCAAGACCAAAAGTAGTATAATAAGTATAAAAATATTGCCTATAAGTTATCAATATACTCAAAGATAATAGGGTACTCAACTATAATCATCTGAATTTACAACTCTTAGACACCCATAGCATCCAGGATTATGACTATCCGAAAGGGAGAAAAGAGAAAACAGCCATAAGTTGGAGAGAGGACCAAAAGCAATCCAAAACATAGAGCGGACATAAAAAATTAAAGAAACATCGAAAGAACTAAATTTTCATTCAGTCCCTTTGGGGTCACGGTGTCCAGGTAGTGTATCCAGTAAGCCTCACATTGTAGAAGCATTTTAGATCTATCTCCTCCTCGCGGCGGCATGGGGACATGATCGATGGCTATAAAGCGAAAAGTAGGTAGCAAGTGCTGTGCCGCCAAAAAATGCTTAGCTACGGGCTTATCTGTCTTTTGATCTCTAAAAGCAGTTGTGATTCCAGATCGATGCCCTCTAATACGATCTCTTAACGTCAAGTCTGTTTTCCCCACATACGAAAGTCCGCATGGGCAAGTAATCATGTAAACAACATGTGTGGTCATACATGTAATGTAGTGGGTAATTGGAATTCTTTTCCCACTGTGTTGATGGACGAATGTAGATCCTGTGTGCATATGGCTGCATGTGACACAGCCTGTGCACTTATAGCATCCTTTCTTCTTTATACTTGGTGTTTTGGCATAACAATGACGGGGATCGTTCTTTACTAGTAAGTCCCTCAAGTTACAATTTCGTCGGTAACTGATAATAGGGTTACCTTTAAACTTGTCTGGAAGGCTGCGGTCGCTTTGGAGAATGTTCCAGTGTGCATATATGGATTTCTTTGGTAATGGAGTAACTGTATTAAAAGTAAGTGGAAGAAAAATATTTTTAGTCCTGTTTCTATTCACTTTAGTGGTTTCATTAAATTTTTGCCAAACTTTTTGTTTGGCAATCGTAAGAGTTCGAGGATGAAAGCCTCTGGCTAAGAAGCGGTCCCAAATTTCTTGTAATTGTTCTTCCCGTTTTAACGCGTTATTGTTATATCTTAAAGCCCGAAGGAATTGTGAAATGGGCAAAGAGTCCTTAACATGCTGAGGATGGAAGCTGGTAGCCGATAGTAAAGTATTACGATCCGTAGTTTTCCGGAACAATGTGTAACCTAGATTGTTTCCCTCTCTATATACAGTGACATCCAAAAACTCAATATTGGTGTTATGCCAATTTAAAGTTAATACCACAGGCAGTGGTAAAGTATTGATGTATTGGATCATCTCTTCAAGCAAAGATAGTGATTCCTGCCAAATAATAAAAATATCATCCACATATCTGAGGTACTTGGTGATATATTGTTGGTACTTAGGTAGAATGTACTTGTTTTCAAACCAGTACATAAAAACGTTGGCATAGGCTGGTGCCATGGCTGCCCCCATTGCAGTCCCGGAGATTTGTAGGAAGAATTGGTCCTCAAATTTGAAATAGTTGCATGTTAACGCTAAATTCAACAACTCCATGAGAAAGGGGATGTGTGGGCCTTTGTACATTTCATCGTTGACTAATATCTCAGATATAGCCTCAATTCCCTCCTTGTGGGGTATTATTGTGTACAAGCTTTGAACATCTAATGTGGCCAAAATAATCTCTCTGTCGGTAAGTTCAATAGTTTTTATTTGGTCAATAAAATGTTGCGTATCCCTAAGACATGTAGGGAGCTTCCTGACACTTGCATTGATGTGGTAGTCAATAAATTGTGCAATAGGTTCCAACAGACCCTCTTTTGCGGACACTATTGGTCGGCCCGGCGGATGTTCAAGACTCTTGTGCACTTTTGGTAGGGTATATAGAACAGGGTGTTTTGGATATTTCACATATAGGAACTTAGCAGTGTTCTCATCTACATACCGATGTGACAATCCCAATTCAATTAGCTGTTCAATCCTCTTTTGAAACTTACTGACGGGGTCAAATGTAAGTCTCCGGTATGTTGATTCATCATTTAGCTGACGCATAATTTCATTCCTATAGTCCGCGTATGTTTGTATAACCACTGCGCCACCCTTATCTGCTGGTCTTACTATGATGGTAGGATCTTGCATCAGATCCTTTAGAGCGACATGTTCCTCTTTCGATAGATTATCCCTATAGGGGGGTATTGCAGACAACATTGAATGAACATCATGGCGGAGCATTTGCATAAATATTTTGATCGAAGGATTAGGTGTGTAAATGTCCTTTTTTGTCCGACTGGGGAACACATGCGCTGTACTGAGAGTTTCTTCCTTCCTTATTTCATTGCTGTATAGTGTTCTTTGTAATTTGTATAGGTCAATCGCCATTTCAAATTTCTTAGGTTTGGCAACCGGTATAAAAGTAAGTCCTTTTTGTAACAGTGACAAGTGGTTATGGTCTAATAGTTTTCCAGATAGATTAAAGATGGGAATTACCTCCGTTGTCTGGGAGGTTTTCCCATGCTCCCTGTATTTCTTGTAATTCGCTTGTCCACGTCTGATGTATCTCCTATGTCTCGTCCGTCTGTTGTAGTGATGTTGGCCGTCCGTGGAGGATCGTTCACATGTTGTCCTCCCTTTAAAAAAGTAACCTGTTTTTTGGATGTTTGGTCGTTTCTGTTTTCACATTCAGATGCTGATTCTCCTGAACTAATGTCCACAGTTTGCAATGATGGCTTTCTAATCCGTGTTCTAAATCTTGGGGTGGAATTACGTGTCTGGGTGTCTGATCCGCTTAACCAGCGATATACTTGATGATATTTATAATCATGGTTGACCTTCTCCACCTTTAATCTTTTAAACCTAATCAAATCATTTTGATATTTCTGTATATCATTCTGTAATTTTAACATAAATTCAGTAGATGGAGCGGCTTGTAACACTGTCACATGAGTGAGTTCAAAATCTTGTATAGATTTCTTAACTTGAACTAATTCTCTTCCCACTAACTCAATAACGATCACCATCCAGTCAAGTGAACATTTATTGGAAATGTTCATCCATTTCCTACAGAAGTCGGGATTCTGTCTCCCAATCGTTGGAGCATTTCTTATACGAAAGCCCCTGGGGATGCGCTTTGATCTATAGTAGTCTGACAGAAAAACTCCATGGAGGTCTAAATCCACCTCACGTTTTTTTAGTCTAGATAAGTCATTGTAAAGATCCTTAGCAGTATGAGTTTGTGGTAGCTCCTGGGAGCTCCGTGGCCACAAAACAGATAAAGCTTTTATTTATTTTTTATTTTTTATTATTTATTATTTATTTATTTTTATTTTTTACTTTTTGTTTTTTATTCAGCCTTTTCTCTGGAGTATACTTTCACTATTGTTTGCCACTATGCAGGGATTTTGTATTATCTGTATGCTCACTTAGTCACGTTAGAGGTATCTCCACAGCATTGGCTATTGTATTTATTCCTCCATCTCCGGGTAGTCAGCTCGATACATTTGGGTAGACTGTATCGAGCTAACTGTGTAATTTGTTAGGTTGCTTAGCAACCACGTCACTCACGTCTCACGCTCACGTGGTGTTTTCACTTCCGGGTTCTCTTGCCGGTCGGCTGTTCGATCTCTTCATTGGTAAGCTTTTACTAATAATTTTGTATATATTTGGATTAAATAACTATGTCACTGTGATCTTGATAAAGACCCCGGGTGGGTCGAAACGTCGATTTTCTTGCACAGACCATGACTCTGTAAGCATTTAATAAAAAAGTTTTTTTCCACTTTATTAGTGAAGTCCTAGTGTGCTCCCCTTACCTATCTGATATATATATATATATATATATATATATATGTGTATAAAAAGACATTACGTACTCCTACTTATAGATTTTGACATTTAGTAAATGCAATGTGCAATAAGGGAAGTTAAACATTTTGGACATTTTTTCAGGAAGTGTGTAGGGAGATTGTGTGGGTCTCAGCCAGTCGGGTGTGGCTAGGGCTTTATATACAATGGGCTTTAACTCCTGCATGGCATAATATTGAGCAGTGGGACTGCAGTGGCATGACCTATACACCAGATCCACTAAAGTTGTTTTGGTGCATAGAATATCCCTTTAAGCTGGAAACATTGGCAAGTAGTCAGGTGTTCCAATTTAAACTTCCCTATAATGAAACATCCTCGGTGCCTCTAGCAGGACAACAGTTAAGATAATTAAATAATCAACTAAAAAGAAGCTTCAGAGTATCTCCGTTGTTATTTTGACCGTTGTTATTTTGAATCCTGACAGGTGAGTTTGAGTGCTCAATGCAAGGTACAGAGCCATTTTTGTTGAGCCAGAAAAGGCCTAACATGTTGTCATAAACCAATGGAACAATGTGATTGTGGTCACAAAATAAAGTATTGCTACCTGGAGTGTACTTTGACCTCACCAGATAATAAATAATAAGGATTTAGAGATAATACCAATAAAGATAACAAAACATAAAAATAAAAAAATAAAACACTTTTCCTTTCCCTCTATACTGTGCATGTAACCAGATTTCTCCTAATTTTTTGGTATTGGCATCACATTGGCATCATTAATGGCTCATCAATAGTCATTAACATTTAGATAATTATCAAACAATAGGATGTGATTGACGCCATGATAAGTAATTGATTTGAAAATTTTCTAGTGTTTATATCTTACCGTTTTTGTACATTACATCAGTACTTTAGTTTTATAATTTTTAAATATCTATGCTTTGAGGTTCTTCTCATTAATTCTCAAAATTCCTTCACCTTTATTTGAGCCTGTGAAAAAGTTAGGTTCCTTTTTACAAATTGAGGTCATAGTGAAGGCTGGAAAAAGCACAGCTTTCTAAATATTAACCACTCTCATATATAATCCCTAAGGGGAAAATAATGCATAAAGCTCAAGAGAGGTGCAGGGTCTTAGACATAATTTTGCTTATTGGATGTAGTTCATGCGCTGTTCAATTATTTTAAGAGATTGCTTGCTATCATGGTATTCTTTAAACAGATCATTTTTCTTGGGATCTGAGAAATTGATAATGAATAATACAGTGGATTAAATGAAATCATTTTAACATAATTAGTATATTGGACAGTGACAGATTAACTCTTCATGTGCAAAGGAGACAAGCGCTTCAGAGTCCGAGATCAATTTGTGTTAGCATGACAAAAGATGCTTCATCCCCTGCAAATCTACATATATTTCAAATATCAATAGATTTGTTTCATCCCTTCACTACAAAGTGGTTTGTGAAGAAAAATACCACCTGAATCTGAATACTTTGAGTGTACTGGAAAGTAATATTTATTTTTTTTTTTTAAGTAGGCATAGATAGCAAATTATTGCATCAAAATAAAAATGAAATTTTGAAAGGATAGGAATACTTAAAAAAAAAATCCTTTACTAAATAATAAAGTGTTACAAATAAATAACATATCGGCATATGTAACACTGACATCTCTGCCCACATATTCTATAATCCTTTTACATATACCTTATCCCATACGCATTTTGTGTATGTGTGTGTGTGTCTCTCTTTCTCTCTCTAAATATATATATCTCAATATACACTGCTCAAAAAAAATAAAGGGAACACTTAACCCCTTAAGGACACATGGCATGTGTGACATGTCATGATTCCCTTTTATTCCAGAAGTTTGGAACTTAAGGGGTTAAACAACACAATGTAACTCCAAGTCAATCACACTTCTGTGAAATCAAACTGTCCACTTAGGAAGCAACACTGAGTGACAATCAATTTCACATGCTGTTGTGCAAATGGGATAGACAACAGGTAGAAATTATAGGCAATTAGCAAGACACCTCCAATAAAGGAGTGGTTCTGCAGGTGGTGACCACAGACCACTTCTCAGTTCCTATGCTTCCTGGCTGATGTTTTGGTCACTTTTGAATGCTGGTGGTGCTTTCACTCTAGTGGTAGCATGAGACGGAATCTACAACCCACACAAGTGGCTCAGGTAGTGCAGCTCATCCAGGATGGCACATCAATGTGAGCTGTGGCAAGAAGGTTTGCTGTGTCTGTCAGCGTAGTGTCCAGAGCATGGAGGCACTACCAGGAGACAGGCCAGTACATCAGGAGACGTGGAGGAGGCCGTAGGAGGGCAACAACCCAGCAGCAGGGCCGCTACCTCTGCCTTTGTGCAAGGAGGAACAGGAGGAGCACTGCCAGAGCCCTGCAAAATGACCTCCAGCAGGCCACAAATGTGCATGTGTCTGCTCAAACGGTCAGAAACAGACTCCATGAGGGTGGTTGTGCTTACAGCCCAACACCGTGCAGGACGTTTGGCATTTGCCAGAGAACACCAAGATTGACAAATTCGCCACTGGCGCCCTGTGCTCTTCACAGATGAAAGCAGGTTCACACTGAGCACGTGACAGACGTGACAGAGTCTGGAGACGCCATGGAGAACGCTCTGCTGCCTGCAACATCCTCCAGCATGACCGGTTTGGCAGTGGGTCAGTAATGGTGTGGGGTGGCATTTCTTTGGGGGCCGCACAGACCTCCATGTGCTCACCAGAGGTAGCCTGACTGCCCTTAGGTACCGAGATGAGATCCTCAGACCCCTATGCTGGTGCGGTTGGCCCTGGGTTCCTCCTAATGTAAGACAATGCTAGACCTCATGTGGCTGGAGTGTGTCAGCAGTTCTTGCAAGATGAAGGCATTGATGCTATGGACTGGCCCGCCCGTTCCCCGGACCTGAATCCAATTGAGCACATCTGGGACATCATGTCTCGCTCCATCCACAAATGTCACGTTGCACCACAGACTGTCCAGGAGTTGTCAGATGCTTTTGTCCAGGTCTGGGAGGAGATCCCTCAGGAGACCATGCACCACCTCATCAGGAGCATGCACAGGCATTGTAGGGAGGTCATACAGGCATGTGGAGGCCACACACACTACTGAGCCTCATTTTGACTTGTTTTAAGGACATTACATCAAAGTTGGATCAGCCTGTAGTGTGTTTTTCCACTTTAATTTTGAGTGTGACTCCAAATCCAGACCTACATGGGTTGAAAAATTTGATTTCCATTTTTTTATTTTTGTGTGATTTTGTGGTCAGCACATTTAACTATGTAAAGAACAAAGTATATGAGAAGAATATTTAATTCATTCAGATCTAGGATGTGTTATTTTTGTGTTCCCTTTATTTTTTTGAGCAGTGTATATATTTCAATTGGGCTTTACACTCGGGGCTCACGGTCTTTTGGTGCATTGGTGCGTTTTCTCCAGCCTGGATACAACAGCCTTGACAGAGACACTCAGAGACTTTATGCAAACTTAAAGGACCACTATAGTGCCAGGAAAACATACTCGTTTTCCTGGCACTATAGTGCCCTGAGGGTGCCCCCACCCTCAGGGTCCCCCTCCCGCCCGGCTCTGGAAGGGGGAAAGGGGTAAAAACTTACCTTTTTCCAGCGCTGGGCGGGGAGCTCTCCTCCTCTTCTCCGCCTCCGTTACGCCCTGCCGGCTGAATGCGCACGCGCGGCAAGAGCTGCGCGCGCATTCAGCCGGTCTCATAGGAAAGCATTTACAATGCTTTCCTATGGACGCTTGCGTGCCTCACTGTGAAAATCACAGTGAGATGCTTCTAGTGGCTGTCAATGAGACAGCCACTAGAGGATTAGGGGGAAGGCTTAACCCATTCATAATTATAGCAGTTTCTCTGAAACTGCTATAATTATGAAAAAATGGGTTAACCCTAGAAGGACCTGGCACCCAGACCACTTCATTAAGCTGAAGTGGTCTGGGTGCCTAGAGTGGTCCTTTAAATGTCTGTGTGCAGTAGTTGTATAAAATAGAACAATGTTTCAGGTTTTTTTTTCTGGATTTTTATAAAGACAATTAGTGACATGTTGAATTTGAACTTAAACAGAGGCTGAGAACCAAAAAGAGGGTAAAGAATGAAAAAGAAGCAGATGACATCAGCAGTGATCTAAAAGATTTCTAGCCCACTGAAGACAGGTAATAAAAGTGCAATGAAT